ACGTAGCATATACTAAAGTGTTAATACCTGTAGTCATTAAGTAGTAGAGCTACGAAATAAAAGTATATTTGGCGTATAGTAAAGCGTTGACACCAGTAGTCATTAAGTAGAAGAACGACAAAGTAAAAGTATACTTGGCATATACTAAAGTGTTAATACCAGTAGTCATTAAGTGTAATTGTTCTATTTAGTGATTATTGGTTTCAACAATTGAGCATGCGACAAGTGTATTTTCAACTTTGTAATTCTTCTATTTAGTACTCACAAGTGTCCACAGTTTACTATATTGGAAGTGTGTTTTTACTTTGTAATTCTTCTATTTATTATTCACAAGTGTCCACAGTTTACTATATTGGAAGTGTGTTTTTACTTTGTAATTCTTCTACTTAGTAAATATGGAATCAACAATTGGGCATTCGACAAATGTTTCATTTAATTTGTATCTCTTCCCCTTAGTGATTACTGGTACTAACAATTTACCATATGACAAGTGTGGTTTTATCTCTTCCCCTTAGTGATTACTGGTACTAACAATTTACCATATGACAAGTGTGGTTTTATCTCTTCCCCTTAGTAATTGTCATATGGTAAATTGTTAATACCAGTAATATCTTCTACTTTGTTTATAGCTCTTCTACTTAGTGACATTTCGTCATATGACAAGTGTTTTTACCTTAATTTATTTATACGTAATAAGTTTCTGAGCGTTTAGTTGTTTTTCTCAGAGGTGGGTGAGTGGTACAGGTTAAATCGCTCTATTAAATGTAATAAGACTGTATGTATTCTGATGCATAGTAACCAAAAATAATTGTACAAATGTTTATTTTTAACGTAAAAAAGCAAAGCAAGTTTAAATCACGGCAAAAATAAGTTACGTAGGATGTGACAGAGTGTCATATTTGTTATAACCATAGATAAAAGCGAATACAAATTTTTATATGCTTTTAATTCGTTCATCTTTGTGTAAGTAATATGCAAAGAAAATTTATTCATGCACATTTATAAAATCAAACATTAAAGAGAAAAAAATAATTTAAAAATTTAGGCTCATTGACTCATGTTTCAGACTGGGAACATCAGTTACAGATACAGTGTACAAGAAAACATATTCCCACATCAACGTAGCCCAGCCTAATCTTTATTTATATATATATATCGACATACGATTCTCTGACTTTCAAACGGGAGTGTGACTTTTATATAAAGGGGAATGTATAGGTGAAAATAATTTTTGAAAATTTCCATAGAAATAAATTTAACACCATTCTCTCATAATTTTGTTGGCGACATGGGTGTTTCTCAGAGGGTAAGCGGTAAATTTATAGACTTACAATGCTAAATTCCGGGATTTGATTCCCCGCGGTGGACAGAGCACAGACAGCCCATTGTGTAGCTTTGCTCTAAAACAACAAGTGACATAGGTAGTTTTAATAGTCGATTTTTCTGGTTGCAAGAATACGTATTTGGTGTCTTAACGACTTCAATAAACTATAGGCGACATCTCTAATTCTAACACTAATCTAATGGTTGGTTGGTTTTCTGTATACAAAGTTGAAAAAACGTGGGTTTATATACAAAATATCTTTTAACAACTCAGTTGGAACTTTCGAGGTTTGTTTATAATCTTCTCTCCATCTTCGAGCCCCTCTAGTGGCACAGCGGTATGTCTGCGGACTTA